ATGTCCTCTTACCACTTTGTTCCATGAAAGAACCTGAAGCTCAATTTGCTGTTTCTAACCAGCTTTCAGATTGGCTGCTATGTGTCCTCTTCCAACCACAGGCTAGATATGACTTTTATAGCTACAGGTCAAAAGTCATTCTTTTTGGTACAGGAGAAAACACCCCATGAAAGAGAAAGACTAGGAAAAAAAATGGAAGAAAAAGAATAGCAACACGACTGGAAAGAATTAAGTTGTGTCTTACAATGTTGGAATGCAGATTCTGTTAGGAAAATGGAAAATTTCCAGCCTTCTACACTGGAACCCAAACCCCCCTACAGTGTCAGGAAATCAGAAACTTAAACTGTCACAAGGAATATAATGGGCTGTAAAGAAAGTCTATACCACTTATCAGGGAGAAAGCCCTGCTGGCTGCCAAGTCCTTAAAAGGGGTGTAGCTTGAAAGGCACAAAATTAAGATGCATGAGACTTTGGAATGGAACACTCCCAGTGGGTCAAAAATGCTATTCCCTTGTGGATTAAAACAAAATTGTACCCCATGTTTGCCCCACTGTGCCTGTGGAAAAGCCTTATTACCCACTGGAGAAAGACAGAATACTGGATAGACAGGAGGAATATAGTCGTTCAGCAAAGATCCAGACTTGTTGCAGTGAATAAATGCATTGCTTCCACCATGAGGGTGGTTGCTAAAACACATACTGTGATGAAGCAGTTCTAATTGAGCACCAGGTGCTGAGCTAGGGACACTAGGCCGTGGACTCACACAGGACAGAACGGACGTGACCTCACAACTTGAGCACCTCAAGAGCAGCTTTCCAGACAGCATTTTTGCATTTTGTACTGGCCACACATCACCTTCTCAACAGGCCTTCTGACCATGGTTCCTGATCTCCTCCAGAGTCTGGAGGCAGCATTTTCAAAAAATAGTTTGTGATGATTTAGCTTTAGTCTGAAAGTCATGCAGAAACAGCAGCTCCATGACACCTTTGTTTAGGCATGCAATTCAATGTTTTTTAGTAAATTTACTGTTGGACATCTATGCAATGACCACTATCTAATGTTAGAAGACTGTCATGCCCCCAATAAGATTCCCAGTCCTCATTTAGTGAATCACCCGTTCATTTCCCTAGGCCAGGTTAAGTTCATGTTATGTGAGTGCCTTCCCCTTCCTCCATCCTCACATCCTCACTTCACTTTCCAGCATATACTACATAGCATGGTTACCTACACTTTCCTTAATAACGGATGTTGCTCGTGCCATTAGCTATCTTATAGAGGGTGAATACCCTCACCAGCACATATGCACACAGGCAGGCACACATGCATATACACATGTAGACTCACAGGCACATACGCACACATGTAGACGCACATGTAGACACACATGTATCTGAGCACAAATATACATATGCACATTCACACACACATAGCACACATACACACACGCACTGACACACACATGCACATTACCAACTAGGGAATCAGGGTAGTATCCTCCCTACCCATCCCCTCCAGGAAAAGCCCAACACAACTGCAAAATGCTCCCAACCTGGCTATTAGAAGAATGGCCATAGTTTTCAAAGGTTGTAGGAAAAATGAATACTATAATTCATAACATATATAATTTAGAAATCAACAATACTCAGACCTTAAACTGAGGCTCCTGCCTGTGCTCCTCGAAGGAATATCCACAAATGCTAAAGTGAAATACATGACAAGATGAAGGACTAAGAAAATCACTGTAATCAAACAGCATCTGGAAGGCCTGTTATACCATTCCCCCCACTGTCTTAATATCAAAGGTTAAATATAGTTCTGGAAAATAGTGGAAAGGGAATTAGAGAAGCATTTTTAAATTGCTCCTCGAAAGAGGTTGGGGTTTGCCTTGTTTCTTTGCAGAGTATCGCACAAAGCGCTTACCTCAGTGTTTTCCAAGAGGAGGATGCTCACATACCACTGGGTATATCCACCCTACACAGGTCGGAGAACATGCAACCTTACTCACTCACCCTGAGAGGTGGATCGAGGCTCTGACTTCTTGTCAGGGAGAAAATAAGTACTGGTTCCTCTAATTCCACCTTGAAATATGAGACCAGCTATGCAGCAAACATCCCTGAAATGCATCTTAATGTAACTAAGGCCCACCCCTAATTTATTTTTTAGCATTTTAAACATTAATTGATTAAAAAATTTCACAGCAAAATGAATTCATAAATGCAAATAGTAAAACTTGACATATTTATTCATTTTTCAGTTATGTAAGGAAATAGACAGCATCTCTCACGGGGACAGGGTTCTTCCACGTATGAGCTGGAAAAAAAATTCCATACTGATGTAATCCAGTAGGTAAAATTTCTCTTTATCTGAACATTACATTTTCCTGTTTTTCACTCTTGATTCTACACCAAGAAAGACAGAATATACATTGTGGCAAAATAAATAAAACACTGAATGGACCTATACCTCCTTCTAAGAGAAAGAAAAAAGAAAATAAAAATTTAACGCCCCTCTAGAGGGGATTTCTTTAGGGGAAGAAGCGTAAAAAGCAAACATTTGTAAACACATGAATCCCTATAGTCCCTTCCCCAACTCTTACAACAAAGCTCATATAGTTCTGTAGTTTTCATTTTTGAAGAGGAGAAAAAATAGTAAGAGAACTTACTTGATCTTAGCTAACACAAGAAGCAATTGAGAACTTAAATCCAGATAGGAAAACACAGAGAGATTATTTAATAGGTTTTAACTTTTCATAGCCACTCAAATTAGGGAAACTACTGTGACAAGAGTGACTGGAAATGACAGTAGAAAGACATGATATTTCTGCAAAACACAGATTTCTAACTAAGAGGATCACACTGAATTAAATTGAAGTGATTTCTACTCTGGCTCTTAAGAATAAAAGGAAGCCTCAAAAGCAAATATCTAGAATCAATTAACCAGATTTGCACATTACCTTAACTGAATTTCAAGAGGGATCTCATGCCCATATTTGAATTAACAGGCAGAAAATTAAAACTGAATTACTACATAGTGCTTCACTGCAGAGAACGCTCCCATCTATCTATCTTAAAGTGTTGTCATACTGCGAACAATGTGAAGGCATTAAACACAGAGAATATAATCCCGTTGTAAAAGCTATTTATACCTCCCTCTGAGGATAATTAACCCACAGAAGGTAATTCTGTGCTACTTACCACCAAGTCAGAAAGTATCCAAAAAGAAGATACATACCAACAGACGTAAAGAATCATCATTAATCCATAAATCATAATGCAGATCATAAAAATCAAAATGTTCTTATGGCCAACATCAGCTGATGAGTATGAGTACACATCCCATTACTAAGGTTTGGAAACTAAACCTGGACAGGTGTTCCCACACATCTTAACTATGTTAGGAAGATAGGCAGTAGATGATGTCATAAAAACAGCTGACATTTCACAAAGAGCACTTTGGTGAAAACAGCACTGGTGTTCACACTGGACCTTCCACGGACAATGTGTTGATTAAGAAACTGTTTATTATTAATATATTTTTTTTGGAGAGATTTTTGCTATAGGGCGTGTGCGCTCGCCAGAAAGAGAGAGACATAGAGACAGAAAGCGAGAAATCACCCCCCGGGGGGGGGATGGTCGCGCCACAATCCCTTCTCCTCCATTCTCCTCTTGGGATCTTGGGCACACACGCACACGCGCCCAGCATGAGTTTTAAGCCACGGGGTCTGGGACACGAACCGCGGTCGACTACGTGGGAGTCCAGCGACACAGCCATTACGCTAACTGCTGGTTTTCTACTGTGTTTATTATTAAAATAAAAGTTACTGATTCTTCAACTGGGTCGACATTCCATTAAGTTAACAACCAGAGAAACAATTGATTCAACACTCAAACAAGTAAGTAATAACTCAAAAGCTTCAGAACTATTGGGAATCAGTTGAATTCCAACATATATTACTATATATGAGGGTATTTCAACAAGTCTGTGGGAAAATAAAATTAAAGTATGAGTTTGTTTTGGTGCCAAATAATTTTGAAATGGATTCACAAATTTTTCATAACACATATTTTCCATGAACTTTCGAAGACCCTTTGTACAGTCAAATTCTTCATCACGAATATCAATATAACCAATCTTTGTACTGATATGTAGGACTTTCTTTTCATTCTTTAAATAATGAAATACTGCCCTGTCCTACTTTCAAATACTAGTGACTAAGTCAAGTTCTACTAATATAAATGACATGTCTGCAAGCTTGTCACCATTATAACCCTGACTTCCAGATTCACCTATTTTAAATTATCTTGCTAGATCATTCAACTGGAGCACAAGAATTGTACAACCATACTGTTTTCCACACTGAAAAACACGGTATATACTGTCTGCCAGTATATTTTATTTTTCACAGAACAAGAGTTCTTGTCTTAGAAATGAGACATTTTAATTTTACAAAATCAACTTTAATGGACAGTAACTGCAGCAAAACAAAAAAAGAAAAAACTTGGAGACCCTCTGTCTCCTCATTTTTAAGAATCTCATATGCTCCCACTCAGTAGAAAAGAACTAAGTCTCTCTCTCTCTCTCTTTTTTTTTTTTTTTTTTTTTTTTTTTTTTTTGCTTTCCCCAAAAAATCCGTC